GGGTGCTCCCCAAGGTGACACACTCGGTCGGATGAAACCGAGTCGTAACAGCTCCTTAATCTGCTCCTTAAGCTCCTGCAACTCCTTCGGCGCCATACGATACGGGGCTTTGGACACTGGACCGGCCCCTGGAATAAGGTCTATAGTGAACTCCACCTGTCGATCAGGTGGTCCTCCTGGAAGCTCGTCTGGGAATACGTCCACGAACTCTCGAACGACTGGAACATCGTGAGGTGAACATGCTCTCTGAGAATCATCAACAAGGCTCACCAGGTAACCCTGGTGGTTGCCTCGTCTCAGCAACTTAGTGGCTTTCTCCATAGAAACAACCTGAGGCAAAGAACGGTTTCTGGAGCCGAAGAAAGTAATGGACTCGTCTCTCGGAAGATAAAGAGTAATCTCCCGGTCATGACACTTGATATCTGCATGATAGAAGGATAGCCAATCCATTCCGAGAATCAGGTCGAAGTCCTTCATCTCAAGAACAAACGCGTCGGTAGGCAAAACTCGGCCACCGATGGAAAGGCTAAGATCTGAGGCTTTAGCTGAAGTCACTATCTTTCGCCCCGAGGCTAGACTCACCTCGAGAGGATCGATAGCGGTAGTAGCGCGAACTCCGATGGCATCAAGGCACCGTCGTGAAATGAAAGTATGTGTCTCTCCAGTATCAAATAAAGCAAACACAGGAACATTATTAAGAATAACCATTCCGGACATGGTACCTGGCTGCTGCTCGGCCTCTGCCTGATCGATGGCATAGACTCTGGCCTGCTGTCTGCCCCTCTGCTGCTGCTGCTAGGGCTGCCTCTGAGCCTGCTGACGGGGCTGCTGCTGCGGTGGCTGCTGAGGCTGCTGAGCCTGCTGCGCCTTCTTCGGACAACGGTTCGCAAAGTGTCCGGCGTCATGGCAATAGTAGCACACATCCTGACCAAAGAGACACTCGCCTCGGTGATGTCGTCCACAAGTCGGGCACTGTGGAACCTGCTGAAGCCTCCGTCGAGCCCTCTTATCTGTCTGGGCACCCTTATCCTTCCTCTTCTTGGGCGGCTGAGTGGATGGCAAAGCTGACATCGGTGGAACTGAAGACGACTGACCACGAACG